TCATTTGAACGTCCAGTAAAAGTTCTTTTTTACAGTAATCTCTGGTTTTTCACAGCTCTGGTTGCCTCATGTTTCCATCCCTGCCTACGACTTCCTGATATAATTCAGAGTACAACAAAGACATTTTTTAGTCGCCCAGCAGTCATTCATTTGACTAACAATGCCGCTGCTCTCCATGCTGCCACACTTTGTAACAGGTGGTGGGAAACTCAGTGATTTATGGCCATTAAATTCCCACTGAGCATATGTTGTGGTGACTCCAAGTTCACCACCATGCAAACTACATGTGTACATGAGAAGTGCATCTGTATGCCAGCTCAGGTGTCAGCTCGTGAACGACATCGAATTTACATTCATTTTCTGCTGACTTTACTTACTAAAATTACTTGCTAAAACTTAAATCATGGTGGCATATTTATGATGTGTCCTCCCAATATGAGCAATGCCAATTAAGACACATCTGTTACCTGTTTGTATGATATCAGTGTACCTGTAATGGTGGTGAAGTGGGGGGGGGGGGAGTAAGGAAAACATGTAGAACTTCCTGTTTAAACTTTAGGAAAAAGATGCTTTGATTGATACATTTAAACTTTTTGCCATTTACATCATTGTGATAAATCTAAACGAGTTATTTTGTCTTTTTAAAAATACTTTGTTGAAGTTTTTTGGATTTATGCATAGTCAAAGATCTTTGCTCATAAAAGCAAACGTCACCAAATGCAGAAAAAGGGCTCTTTCACAATTTTATCTTTGTACCTGTAGCTATTTTATACAAGCAGTAGATAACTGTTTCATATGCTGTTGAGCTTTGGGTTGTTTATTAAAACAATTATTTATTTGATCCCGTCCTGATTTTGTTGAAGTTTTCTCACTTACAAAGAAATGAACAGTTTCTAATTGTTATCGAAGTTTCATTTGCATGTATATATGCATATATTACTTAAAAAAAACATTTCTGCACTTTAAAGGATGAATGATGCATATAGTAACGAGCTCGCTTTCTCGAAAGCACAGTGAGTGACAAATATTTCTGTTTACAGGATCACGTGTCGCATTTCTGGCTTTTTAATAGAACAGAAATATTTAGGAAAGCTTAGCTACTGTTTAAAAAAAAGTATACACGCATTAGTAAATTAAAGAAAAACTTGTCTCCCTCTTTTTAATTCGACATTTTACATTTAGTTCAATTCAGTCAGCAGCTGTCCAGTGTTCATCCAAAAATAGACCATAATCTCTGATATGAATGTGTAACTTGTATTTACCTGACACCTGCTCATTGAGAGGCTCTTCTTTTCATCTGATGAGTAAGTGAGGACGCAAAGCCATTACAAAGTCGCTTCATTTGAGATCACCAGCTTCCGTCATTAAGCGGTGAGGAGACGGGCGGCAGTTCTGTTTTCATGTTCTGTTCACCGTCACATCAGCTGCTCATGAGTCAAACCGGTAAACACCTGCTAATCAGATCACCCGTTTCATTAGTTGTGAGGATAACTGACCCACGTGACAACTGAAGAACAGTTTTATTAGCACACACACAAAGAGTACATACATTTTTCTCGGTATTTCCAACAATCATATTTCAGTTTGTCTTTTGTGTCTCTTTGCACCTGTAAATGATTGATGTCTAAAAAAAGAAAATGAAACACGTGACCTGCAACTTTCACCTCTTTGCTTCAAGCCGGTGAAGACTTTAAGTGCGGTTGTGTGTACGCTGTTAACAGTATTTGCCAAGACATTCACCGAAGGATGTAAAAGGCGTTTAGCCACTCACTGTGCAGTAACACCACCAGCACACCTAAGCATATTGTCATGCGCAATTACGTGCGGACTTTGAACTAGAGACACTCACAAACATCATAGATCATTTTGGTGAACAGCTGTTGTGCCATAATGTTCATATTTGGACTAGTTTTTACACAAAATAGGTGATTCTATAGAGCCCAGCCCTACAAGCTAAACGATTCAGCCACATTACGCTTTAAAATAGTAGATGTAGTAGACTTTAAAATCAAGAAACACTCATCAAAATTAAAAGTTTCTGAGTCTTGACACGATGTTGCTCGGCCTGATTGTTTATTCTGGTTGTTGTGGCTCGTTTTCTGCGTGCGCATTAAGCGCGTCATTGTCTGCCAACACCTTTCGCCCTGCGTAAAATCATCGGCAGGACTCGACAAAACACCCACTATCCTCTGTGTATCAGACCTCTCAGTTTGGTCCTAAACTCCTTTCTCATTAGGCAGTAAATGATTGGGTTGAGGCAGCTGTTGGTATGCGCCAGACACACGGTCAGTGGGAACACATACGTATGAACCGTGTAGTACGCATTATCCCAGTTTGCAGCGTTCAGTTTGACCAGTACGCTCCACAAGGTCATGGCATGATTTGGCATCCAGCAAAGAAAGAAGCACAGCACGACGATGGTGATAGATTTTGTAACTTGGGATCTGCGTTTGGGGTTGCTGGTTTTCATACTCCGTTTGCGGATGAAGCGCAGCAGCATGATGTAGCTGATGGACACGATTGACATGGGCAAAACAAAGCCTACGACGATTTTCTGTATGTGGTAGAGTGCTAACCAGTACTGTCCACCTGGAAACCTCAGCAGACACAGTTTTTCTCCAGTTACGCTGGTGACTGTTGAGAAAATCGACGTGGGCGCAGTCGCCAGAGTCGCCAGTGTCCAAATAATTGCGCAGACCCATTTGGCGGAGCACGATCTCCGCGCGGTTCTGTTCTTCAGGGCAGAAGCGACCGACCAGTAGCGGGTCACGCTCATGGCGGTGAGGAAAAACACGCTGGCGTACATGTTCATCACGGTGACGGACAGGATGATTTTGCACATTGCATATCCAAACGGCCAGCTGAAGTCCAGCGCGGTGTCCACGGCCCAGAAAGGCAGGGTGAGAACAAACTGCAGGTCCGTAACGGCCAAATTGAACACGAAAAAGTTCACTCTGGACTTCTTCCTTTCTTGTTTGACCCTGATAAAGAAGAGGACCAGCAGGTTGCCGACCAGACCCGCAGCGCAAACGACCGAATACACCAGACAAATGAAGAATCTCAGAAGCGGGGTCCGGTCTGCGGTCACGTCTATGTCCACGAGGTTTTGGAAGAGCTCCATCTCGGTCACTGACTTGTTCAAATAAAAGCTTTCATTTTCTTCACTCATAATGCCAGCCAGCAGCTCACAGACACTTCGGGATGAACTAGATGCAGGTGTACACTTTTTTTCTTAAGCTAGATCCAAACGGCTGCATCTCAAGAGTGCCACAAACTCATCTGTCTCTATCACCTCCCCCCGCTCGCTCCTTTGTCCAAGGTGCATCATCATCCCGCATCTCCGCTCTCCTTAGCACGACAGGACCACTCACCCCACCAGTGGCGGTCCTAGCCTGTTTGGCGCCCTGGGCGAACACTCCCTCTCCCCCCCCCCCCACCCACACACACACACACCCAAAACATATTAAGGATTGTACATTAACATAAAGCTGTTGTACACACACACACATATGAAGAGAGAGAGAGTATGCATAGTATGCAAACGGCTACCAAACAGCCATCATAATTCGTCATACAATGAGAACAGGACAAATCAACAATTGACAATGACTAATTAATATTAAAATCTGTAACATAATGTATTGTTTGGAGTTTAGTCTGTTACTGTTACTATTTTTACCATTTCTTCTTGGAGCAACTGTAATGCACATAATTTCCTTAGGGATTAATAAAGTATTCTGACCTGCCATTATCCAATGACACATCTGCTTACCTGTATCTTTTGCTCGTTTCTCCTCCTCTTCTTTTCTCTTTTTTCTAAACTGAGGACCTGATGGCTTTGAACTTTTCTTGTCCATCTTCCATTGGTTTTAATTTTGCACTCCAGTATGAACACCCATCCTCAACCCAAGGATCACCACAACATGATCTAACACACCTACACCTTAGTTCACAGATTCACTTTGTCTAGGGTGCATTTCTGAGATTTCACACAACCCAGGATTCAAATCATGAATACATAATGGGCTTGGATTTACATCATTATGAATGAAATGTGCTCTATTTGGAAGCAGCAGCCCCCCTCCCCTTTCGACGGGTTGTGTGTGAGACTTTAAATCATCAAACTGTAAATTTTAAATTGTTATTGATCCCTTTACCTAGTCCTAAAGTGTATATTTATTTTCTTACTCTTCTTATATATATTGTTTGTTTACTTGCACTGCTGTAACTGGAGCCTCGTCGTCTCGTCTCTCTATATACTGGACTGTATGTAGCGGAGATGACAATAAAGTTTACTTTGACTTCAGCAGCAGCAGGCGCACCGAGGGCTCTCGCGCTCACTTTTCGCGTATAGAATTTCGAAAAAACATCGGTGCAAATTATAAGTCTGTATCATATGTCTGGTGTTTTCGTGTTTGTTGGTTTGTTTTTATTTTGTTTTATTTTGCGAGTTGGTTATTAGATGCTGCTCCAGCCAGCCAGAGAATCCCCCGCCGCCCCGCCCTCTCCTCCTGTGCCGCAAGCAGCAGGCGCACCTCGCAAACGGAGGGCGCCCTTACTCCCAGCAAATGGGCGATAGAAAACCGATCGGTGCCTATGCCATTCCCAATATGCGCTGGCAGCATGAGTACGAGCAATTTTTTTTAAATTTTTGTACCGATACCCGTGATGCCGCCCCCCACCACGATGCCGCCCCGGGCAACCACCCGTGTCGCCCGTATCTAAAACCGCTACTGCACCCCACCCCTCTCCACCCTCCGCCTCTCGACCGGAAGGTGGAGTCGAAGTGTTTGGCGAGCTCAAGGTTCGACCATCAGAGCGCGCTCCTTCATCAAACCCCGGAAGGCGCGTGCAGTTAATCATTTCATAATTATGTTAATTAATCAAATGTTCCTGTCAGGTTGCGCTTTTGTCACCGGCGGAACCGAGCGAGTCTGTCCAAGCTCTGACCGTCATTTACAAGCAAGCGAAAAGTTCAAGACGACTCTCCACCGCCACCCAGTGTTCAGATAAAATAATGCACCATGATCCAGCAGAGAAAACAAGAGCTCCCTCCGTGCGGAGGAGTATTAGGGCCACATTAAGAAAACATATATATTATTGATCATTTTTGAATAAAGTCGAAATGTGCAGATTACAGTTGTTATTTCAAGACAATCTGTCACGGCTGCTCTACTTTACATACAGCTTATACTTTACAAAATGCTTTGTGTACACGAGTTTGTGAAACAAGTTGATCAGCCGTCTTGCGATACAACATACATGCTCTTTATTACACGAGGGTGGAACCATCAATAAACTCGCATCTGTCCATGACAGAGCATTTCATTTTGTACGAATTCGGCCAACTCTTCCAAGTTTGTGTTTTTTCCTTCTTTTCCGCGTCCTTAATGATCACCACAATGTGCTTATTAGCTAAAAGAGAAATCATGTCCTTCCTTGTTACTACACCGATTCTGAAGTGTGATTTCAGAATCGATTCACGAACTCACATGATACAGCAACCGTGGCAGCTTGTCTTGAAACAACTGTAATCAATATATGATCAATAATATATATATATATATATATATATATATACATACATACATACATACATATATATATATATATATACAAAAGTAAGACTGTTTCAAATTCATAGACAGCTGTACTTTTATTTCATTTACTATGTATATATATATATTTATATATATACATACATACATACATACATACATATATATATATATATGTATGTATGTATGTATCTATATATATATAAAAAATGTGGCACCTAATACTCCACCCCACCGATAGGGCAGAAGCTATACTGCAACTTTGATGTTTTATGCTGACGTCAGCAGTGTTAATACGGAAATGGTCATGTCATAAAATGCTGTATTTTAAAAATTGAGCCAAAGACAGTGTTTATGTCTCCCAGTGACTACTATACTGCTTTAAAGTTTCAGATCATCCAATGGATCTAAAGCTTTTTCCTAATTGTGTGACCCTGACCTTTGACCTTAAATTGTTTTATTATCTTTGCCCATATGACTGGACCAGAACTGACTGAAATCTTTGTCTTCTATAAGCTGTAAAAACATAAGACTTTCAGATATATTCGTGCAGTGTGTGATTTTGTAAAACTTTATGGCGTCATTGTGACGTATTGAAAAAAAAAAAGCGTTGCACAGCTCTCTGTGCCCTTTCATATATTACTCAATATGATTTGTTGAAATTTTTTTTAAGATGAACTTTGACCTTAGGTGCTAACAGTGAAGGTCAAACACTAAGCCAACTTAGGTATTCATGTACCCCAGGCCTAGCATATTATTGTAAAGTTTGAAGATGATCAAACTGTGAGTAATCTAAATCTTTTAACTTATTATTTGTTGTGATCTTGAGCTTTTACTGGTATCTACTGTCAGTCTACCGCCTACACTACTTCCAAACAAACAGTAGCGATTACATATGCCCTCCGTTCGGGAGGAGAACTAAAAGGATTAAAAGAAGAAAGACGAAACTCACCAAGAGAAATAGCAGAATGCATTTTATTACATCTAAACTTTTCTACATAAACAAGTAACATTCAATAAGTAAACAATTTCGTCCAATGCAGGTAATAAATATTTTTTTTTTCCCACTTGGTATATTTGTACAAACTGACACGGGTCTAACTGTACACCGTCTTCTCCTTTCCCTCCTTTCAGGTTTGTTTTCCAGATTGGAGCCACGAAACAGAACCTGTGAATGTTTTAAGGCAGTGAGTGCAGATGTCGTCTCAAGTCTGACTTTGATATCGTTTTCATAGCGTGGAACTCGTTATTGGCCACGGTCATATTTTTTTTCTTTTCCCTGTTTTTTTTTTTTGGTTCGTTTTTGTTTTTTAAATAATAGTACAGCTTCCATTTTCTAAAAAATATATAAATTATTTTATTCTCTCGCTCTGAATCGACGCACAAAAGCATACAAACGGACATCAAACACCCATGTCTGGATCTGAATCTTTCAGTTTTCAGTGTTCCACACGAACATAATATACACGTCGCTGATTTTTCCCTTTTGTTTAAGGTCATGACAACCAAAGAGTTGAGTTGCTTGTCGAGGCTGACTGTGGAGTACTTTTGAAAACACACTTAGGAGTAACTACTGTTTTAAAAAAACAAAAGTGGCCTTATTCCATATGTTCTGTGTGTGTGTGTGTGTGTGTTTTGCTGAGGAGGGACTGAGAAAGCCACGACCTTGTGCTTATCCATCCTGTTTGTTAGAGTGAAATAAACCCAGCTCAATAAAGACTGCTTCGCCCTAAACACTTGCCGCGAATGAAACCACAGGAGGAGGGAGCAGCGGACACCTAAACGAGGTGGAGTTGGATCGGACCTTTCCCCGCCTTCACCACAAACACATTCAACACGGTCTCTTCTCCCACTTCATGTTGCCATCGTGACCTGCTGCCCAACGAGCGCCACGACAGACGTTTCAATAAATTAAGACGGTGATGGGATTCATTCAGTTACTGTGACCACCTCATCAAGTATCCAAACACTGCTGCTTAGTTATAAAACTGACGTGAGAGAACGTGAAGGACCGAAGGTTTCACCAGCAAAGCAAGCCAAGGGAGCTGAGATAAAGGCACAAACGCACAGGCTCACGTAGTTCCTGCTGCCCAGAAACGATCAACTCACCGAGCCTGAGCCGCAAGCGAACAGCAACAGTTCACTTTGGGAGTGAAATCCACACGATTTCCACAACGAATGCTCTCGCATGCAGCTTCCTGCCTACGTGACATGGTTCTCATGGGTGACAACCATCAAAAGAACAAAACAAAACAACCCACCAAAGTTAAATATTGACATAATGGTAATAATATCATAAATAATGTGGTTCTTCTTTGCCTACGGTTATGGTTGGAGACTCTCTGCAATCTGAAAATCCTGCCACAAAACACACAAACAGAAAGACAGATTAATCTGATCGGCAGTAGCTTTTCACCTCGTTTTCTCCGAATATAACAATAAAATCACCGTCAATCGTGAAGTGGAAATCTGGTTTAATGACAGGCCTGTATGCACATGACCAGGTGTTTTTAGGCTGGTTCCAGGAATCAAAGAAGTGCATCGATTGGAACATTTAGAAAATCCATCAAACTGCCTGAGGAAGATCCCATGTATCAAAGGATTAAATTAGCACTTGGAGCAAAACACTATGCAGATCCCCACCCAAACAGTTTAAAGATGGAGGAGCTGTTTTTGTTTTTTAATTTGTACTCATTAAAAACACAAGGAGAATAACAAATAATCCCGTTTGAATACACGTTTTCTTTGAACAGAGAAAATGTGTACACACTTTTATTTTCTGAAACAAGATTAGCAACTCTGACAGAATACAAGGTGGTTAAACTTAAACAGCTGTTAAAGAGAGGATCACTAAATCCAAAATATAATTTTAAATTTTTATTCCTGCAATCATTTATCTTTGCTGCTGTGGCTCTGTGTTGAGACCTTCCTTGCTTACACATAGATGGAGAAGTGGAGATGTGATATTACGTCAGGCGCTGTGTTAAAGATGGAGCTGAGATTAAGGTGGGTTGCAAAGCGGCTTGCAGATGCTTCAGGTGACTGGGCCTGGCTTTGAAATCAGCTGATCTGTTGGGGTTGGGGTGATCTTACCTCTGTTGTCAATTTGAACCTTTTTCTCCTTTTTTTGAAATTATAGGTTCTTGTTGTTATTGAAGGGGGATTAATGTTTCACTGAGATGAGCTAAAGCTTAAAGGCAGCTGTGGGAACACGGCGAAAAGCTTTAAATCTTTTGACACTAAAGGCTCTGAATGGTTTTGCTTCCGCCTGGCCAAAGCAGCAAAAATGCCCAAACCTGCACGTGACCACCACTTGAATAGAAAAACCTTTAAATTCCTGACAGAATCAAACAATATTTCAACGAATATCTACAGCAACTCTTCATTAAACTGTTTACCGACAACCCATCGGGTGCTCACTCACACCGACTCGGTCATTTCTTAACGGTAAGCAGCAGGAACTCGAAGCGCATTAAATCAAGCGCGTAATAATAACGCATGTGTTTTGTGCCCTTATCGTAAATATTACCCAAGTCAGCTCCAGAGAAAACACACACGCACGCACACACGCGTCATTTTCATTTATGAGTGACTACACAACACCTTTCTGAGAAGTTGTGCTGCTGGCAGGGAAAAAACAAAGAAGTAAAATGCACATTAAATAAAGTCTTATAACATCAGTTCCCAGAGACTCACACACTCTCAGTCATGGAATTCAAACATTATGTAAAAATATAATGTACAGAAATATGAATACAAAATAAATAAAATACTGCACGACATACACGACACAGACGAGACTTGTTCTGGCAAATGACTGAGTCAGTCTGAGAGGTGGGGGGCGGGTTCCCATGAGAAGACCTGGGAAAAGATTTACAAATGCCAAGAGAGACACAGAGGGCGAGACAGGGAAGGGTGTATCTGGTTTGTCGAGAGTGGAGGGACAGGGCAGAGGATCTAATGTGATGGGTTGTGCTGTCAGAAGCGATTATCTCACGGTGGCGGGGATAATTAGGCTCTGACGGGAACTGCCCGTGTCCGACCTCTGGAAGAAGAGCGTCTAAGAGAGACGGATAACAGGGGACTCTGAGAAAGTTTCAAGGACACAGAGAAAGGGGGAGGTGGGGTGTGCTGAACGGGCACCGGGATTAACGGTGTCACCAGTAATGTGACCAGATTACAGAGGATCTCTGCAACATGGATCTGTTAATAACCTGAGGGGAGCAGAAAGCGCAAGCGTGTCCAGTCTTAAAACTGCAAACCTTTCACTTTTTTAAGCTGAACGTTAACGCCGTCCTAAAACCGCTGCGCTGCTCTGACACTTCCACATCACGCTCTGAACATTGCAGAGGTTTTTTTCATTTAAGAAGCAGACAGGCAATGTATTTTTAAACCATCTGACTCGGTGCCCGGTCTAAAAAGGGACAAGCTGAGATTGCCTTCTTCAACTGTGTCCCACTATTATCTGCTTTTCCCAAATAAAACTCCTGAGATGATATCAGTCACAGGTCTGATCTTCAGAAGATGCATTAAAAGGAAAGTGGGCCAGGGGTTGTGGGTAAGCTTTTAAGACATTAATCTGAGCAAAAAACAAGAACAAAAAACCCCCAAAAACAAAAGAACAGGCACAACTTTAAGCTTAGTCACGTGCTATGGACGCCTGTATCTTTAAAAAGGCCTAGCGCTGCTACAACACCAATATGACCTTCATCATCAACAGAGAAGACGAGACACGGTGGGCAGAGGATTAAGTGGCTTAAAGGAAGGACAGCAGACTGAAAAGACTGTGACGCTCAGATCAAACTACCCTCTTGATTATTTTGATCATATTC